CCTTAGTGCTCCATGCCTGTGGCAGCATCACTCCAATCTCTGCCTCTGTGGACACATGGCATGCTCCCTGTATGCCTGTGTCCAAATGTCCCTCTTTTATAAGGATACCAGTCACTGCACTGGGGCTCACCCTAATCCAGTTCAATTTCATCTTCACTTCATTACATCTGCAGAGACCCTATTTCCAAATAAAGCCACATTTACAGGTTCCAGGTAGACATGAATTTGGAGGGGACCCTATTCAACTCAGTATACTTCTGGGTCTCCACCTCGAGGGCTGCATTCCTCTACACCTGCTCCCCAATCTTGAGTCCTTTCTACTTTTATAAATGGCAAATATTACCCATTGCTTCATCAGTGTTAGCCCAAAGCCGGTTACCCATTTTAACTACCCAGCTACAGACCCACCTGTTTCTTAGAACCCTGTTTAACCAGCAGCATGTTATCTTTTCCACCCCATCAGCAGCCTCAAGATATTTTCAACTTCTACCTTCAGGTTTCCAGCTTCCTTGATGCTAATCTACTGAGAGGTGTTTAATGCCTCATTAACACCTCTTTGCATCTCAGTGTGAAATCCCCTAATCTCTTCAATTCTCTCTATACAAATCCCTCCTCCTCAACCAGCCCAGCCCTTGGAGTATCCCTATCTGGAAGCTGGGAGGCAATGAAGTGATTAGGAAAGGGGCAAGCCCGTGTCTGCCTTCCTGCTCCCGAGGCTTCATCACGCAGGGATGCTGCTGGCCTCTTAAGGTGGCAAGCCTCATTCCTGCCATACCATTTGAAATTCTCCACAGTAGGCAAGAATTTAGTCAGCCTGCAGCAGATTGTTTCCAGTCTCAACACTGGAGCAAGAGTCCACACAATTCCCCAGTCAACCTGCCAGCAGTGTGTATGTACATTTCCTCCCCTCCTTTGCAATAGTCAGCCCTAAGCCCCCCATGCCCTGGGCAGTTCTAAATGAAGTCACAAAATGAATCACTCCTTTTCTGTGGCTTATTTTTTTCTAGAATTTTATTCTAAAAAATTTCAAAGTCAACAAAAATGAAAGAATTTAACAGTGAACTATTATTACCCAGCACCTAGATGCTATCATTAACATGTTCTAGCATTTAAAAATTGAGATACTCTTCACATAACATTACATTCTCTTTAAAGTGAATTTTAAAGTGCACACTTTTGAAATGTATACTTCAGTGGCTTTTAGTGCATTGACTCTGTTGTGTAAAGATCCACCATTATCTAATTCCAGAACATTTTCATCACCCCAAAAGAAACCCCCTACTTATTAACAGTTAATTCTAATTCCCTCTCCTCCTATCCCCTAACAACTACTAATCTTTTTTCTGTTTCTATTCTGGACATTTCATATAAATGAAATTGTATAATATGTGACCTTTTGTGTTTGGTTCCTTTCACTTAGCATAATGTCTTCAAGGTTCATCCATGCTGTAGCATGTACCAGTATTTCATTCCTTTTTTATGGTGAGTAATATTCCATTGTATGAATATATCACATTTTATTCAACCACTCACTAGCTAGTGAATATTTGAGTTGTTCTACATTTTGGCTATTATTAATAATGTGGCTATGAACATTTATGTACACATTTTTGTGTGCACATACGTTTTCAGTTCTCTCAGGTATATACTTAGGAATCACTGGGTCATACAGTAACATTAACATTTTACTATACAAGCTTTATCATATACCTACCTGTCTATTCATGTAGTAACTCATCTCACATTTTTGTATGCTTGAGAATAAATTTCAAACATCAGTACACCTCA